CTCGTTTTTGAGTTATGCGAGATACGTACGTACGCACGAACGTACGTACGTACGTACAGAGCAACGAAAAATTCTCTTCAGAATTAATTTTATAGCAGTTTTATAATTCTTTTGAAGGAAAAGAGTATTTTATTTTGTCCTTACGTACAGATATCACGCAAAGACTTCGTTAAATTGCATTCGATAGCGGTCAAAATGGATATTTTCGTTGAAATATGCTGCCTGAAACTTTTCGCGATTACAATACTTCCTTTTTACTTCGTACAAGGAAGTAAAAATATGCTAAAGTTAATTAACAAGGGGATAAATCTTACAAAACGGTTGATTAACACGAAATAATATCTTAAGAAACTATAATGGAAAGCAGTAATCGTAATTAATCTTTTATATTGTTCGTATGAAGTGTATTTCTTTTTTGCTACCTATCTGCGAATTCATTAAAATGCAGCGAAACATTAATGATCAACTTCGCTTGGTTACGGTACATTCCTTGCCATTCGAAACCTTTTTGCTTTTCAGCTGTATTATTTCTCAACTTGAATCTTCAGAAAACTAAATCAGACTAAACCTAACTGTAGAATACAGTCACTAAAACAGAAGATTTTAGAATAAATAATGTGTTGCGTCGGAAAAAAAAATATTTCATTATTTTTTAATGCACTGTTTGTGAAACTGTTTAAGGATTTGTCTCATTTGGAACATATGCAGAAAAAATATTCATCTCTTGCTCAAGTTTTGCATACTTGGATGCTTACATTTTGTTACAAGTGTGACATTTTCTTATTTCATATTTGACTATTTACTGTTTAGTTTGGGAGCTTTTTTCAGGAATATTTTAGTTTCCCTATTTAGTCCGTTTGGAGTTGCTGTAATAGTACAAACAAACTAATGTGACAACTACTAACTACAAACAAACTAATGTGAATATAATCATTAGTTATAAAGAAATTACTTTGAATGTTTGCTTAATCTGAAACGAAGGATGCAACAACACATGTAAAGAAATCTAATAGAGCAAGTTTGAGTTAGATTACCCTCCACAAATGCATTTTTTTCCCTAGTCCTTTGCGTGTTTTGCTGTATTTATCAGTTATTCATTTTCTCTCATTTCTCTATCTGTGAAGTATTCTTGTTTGAATACCTGCAATTGAAATTGTTTTAGCTGATTTTAAAGTACATGTGTAGTTTGATAAATGCGTGAGGAAAATGAGAAACACCGGTACCGAGCGGTCCTAAGCAATCATACTGCATGTCTTCTTCAAAATACAGTCGGTCAAAAGATAAAAAAATGTTTCATACTTTATTAAATGTATTTTATTTGCTTTTTACGCATGGTGCTCCTGGTGAATCAGATACCATAAAATGTTTTCGAAGAATTGTCTGTCTCAGGCGTTTTAATTAAAATAATGATCCCCTGGGAATGTATTATAATCATGAAACATTTCGAGCATCGTATTTCAGCAAAAATAGCCATTTTTACCGCTCTCGATTCCATTTGAACGATGTTTTTGCTTTACATTTTTACGTATGGACAGAATAAAGGAGTCTTTGTCCAAAAACGGATTGTGAAATAGATTTCAAATGGATTCAGAAGAGATTTTTGCCTGACGTCCGTACGTATGTCTGTATCTCACATAACTCAAAAACAAGGAACCTCAGAACGTTGAAATTTTATTTATGCTAATTGCTCATAACATGTAGATGGACACCTCCCTTTTTGATTGCAGTCGGCGCATCAAAAATATGTAAACATAGGTATCTGGCTCGGTGAGTTAAGTCTTTTTACTTCCTTGTACGAAGTAAAAAGGAAGTATTGTAATCGCGAAAAGTTTCAGGCAGCATATTTTAACGAAAATATCCATTTTGACCGCTATTGAATGCAATTTAACTATGTTTTTGCGTGATATCTGGACGTAAAGACAGAATAAAAAAACACCTTTCTACCAAAAATTATAAAACTTCTTTAAAATGAATTCTGAAGAGAATTTTTCGTGGCGTCTGTACGAACGTATGAACGTATGTCTGTACGAACGTATGTACGAACGAACGTACGTACGTATCTCGCATAACTCAAAAACGAGTAGCGTCAGAATGTTGAAATTTTGTATATAGGATTGCTATAACATGTAGATGTGCACCTCGTATTTTTGGTTGCAATCGTCCGCACCAAACGTATATAAATATATTTATATATATATCCACTCTATTACCCGGCTCAGTAATCTCTGTTTCTTTACTTTTATATGTTTATAAATTGTGCATTTTTTGCTTTAAAAATGATTGAATTATGTTGTTCTTATCTTCCGGTTAAGGTTTTTATACCTTTAGTAAATCTGCAATCAGTATTTGTACTAATATCAACAATTTAAAAGCTGTTTAAATGCGGCTAAGCCTTTAGTTTTAAATAACATGGCGGACATATTTGTTTACATTTGAAACAGCAAAATAGTAGATTTGTTGCCAATCTAGAGAGACTAAGCTTCGCAACAACAAATATAACGCCTTCATTTATTATTGCAAATTAAATTATGCTTAATCCTTTCTGGAATTTTTTCGAGGAAATAAGGTATTCCTTTAATATAAGGAATTCCTTTAATATTTTTTTATTAAGAAAACTGAAATGTAATATGTTCTATTTTATATTTGGTGGCCGTGTTTAAACTGAAATGTTCATTCAAAACTATTTGACGCAAGGATAAAATTAGAATTAAAATAATTTAAATTCATTTTAATAATTTTTTATTAGTTCGTATGCGTTGTTATCGTCTGCTTATTAACATTTTCCTATTTCAATATAAGAGCGTTATCGTTACATAAATACAAGCGATATTTTATTAATATAATTAACGAGTGGCAACATTATTTAATTTCGGTTTATTGTTGTTCTAAAGAGAATATTCTTTAAATTTATCATTGTAATGCTGAGTTCTCGTTATGCTTGGACTGCACGTTACATAGCTATATGAAAGTTAATAGTATTTCAGCCATTTCATTTACTGAACTCTTGTATACTGGTTATAGATGTTTATTTTTACCTCACAGCGTATAATATTCACTTTTACTGTAGGATTATTTGTTGAATAATAAAGGATGAAAAAGAAGAAACCGTACAGGAAAAAGAAATGTAACATGAAGAAATACCATATCTCAAAAAAACGACAAGAAGATGGATATAAAAAGGAAGAAAATGTTAAGACTAAGGAAAGAATAAAACGATTAAGAGCGGATGATGAATATAAAGCGGAAGAAAATGTTAGAACCAAGGAAAGAATAAGAAGATTAAGAGCGGATGAGGAATTTAAAGTGGTAGAAAATCTTAATACCAAGGAAAGAATAAGAAGATTAAGAGCGGATGATGAATTTAAAGTGGTAGAAAATCTTAATACCAAGGAAAGAATGAGAAGAGTAAGATGGGATGAAGAATATAAAGAGGAAGAAAATGTTAGGACCAAGGAAAGAATAAGAAGATTAAGAGCGGATGATGAATTTAAAGTGGTAGAAAATCTTAATAACAAGGAAAGAATAAAAAGATTAAGAGAGAGCGATGACTATAAAGTGGAAGAAAATGTTAAGACGAAGGAAAGAATGAAAAGATTAAGAGAAGATGATGAATACAAAGAGAGAGAAAATTTGAAAACTAGAGAACGTGTACACAAATTAAGATCACAAGAATTATATCAAACCAAAGAACTATTAAATGACAGGCAACAAAAAACAAATAAACGAAATGATGATCAACTCCGACTTAGAGAGAATATGTTCGACAGTATCGGAGGAGTAACGAGCCAAAAGATAAGTATTTTTTGCAATTTATTAAAGATCGAAGCATGTATGCCTCAATTTATATGTTGTTGTTGTGAGGGTTTATTTTTCAGTCACTCTGTAGTTTAACTTTAATTTAGTTAAAATTAAAGAAACTGTTTCTGAAGACATATTTTCAAAAATTATAATTATAATTCAAAATTTATTTGTAAAACTTGCAACTTTCATATAAGTAAAATTAAAATACCTAATTTGTCTACTAGCAATGGATTGAAATTTGTTGATGTACTTAATTGCTTGCAAATTCTTTCTCCACTTGAAGAGAGAATGGTTGCACCTTATATTAATTTCATGCAAATTAGGCCTTTAAAATCTTTTGCAGGAAATCCACAACTCGGCTTGAAAGGTAGCGTAGTAAATATACCAATTGAAATAAATGATGTGTTAAATGTATTGCCGAGAAATTTCGATCAGATGGCGACATTACAGCTAAAGTTAAAAAGGCATTTTGATCACAAGAGCAACTATATGTTTGAAACGATTCATCCTGCTGTTGTCTGCGAAGCTTTAAAACATCTTATTGGAACTCCACTTTACAAGAAACACGATATTCAGATTGACAAAAAATATTTGTATCAGTTTCAAAGCAAGTACAATGAAAAAATTAATTTCATAGTAGATAATTCTGATACTAATGATCACATAGCATTATGTAATAGTCAAAATCATTTAAGTCTTTCACATGATGTAGATTTTGATTCGCATTTTAAATTAGAGGCAGAATTAGATGAAGAAGTTATGTTAGTTGATAGAAATGAAGAGATAGTTAACCATGTTAGAATTATAGCTAAAGCACAAGGAAAAACTCCTGTACCTTGGCATGCAGTAGAAGATATAGACGAATTGTGTTTTCCTAAGATATTTGGTGGTTACAAAATGAATATTCCTGCTTTTATTTCATTTGGAGATCGGGCAAAATCAGAGATTAGGCGCTGGGATCGAAGGTCATGTATACCTACTAGGGTTCCTTTTTATGGCTAAGAAGAAATTAGAAAAATCCTGCATAGCTAGTTTAAATATTTGACTGAGAAACACAAAGAGAACCGCAGATGTACGAGTTAAAATATTCTGGATATTTCATTTTTAGACTATATAATTAAGTTAGACCAGTGTCATAAAACTTTAAAACAAATTAGATCTTCGCCTTCGTGTTGGGAATCAAAGAAACGTGACCTATAATGGCAATGATCAGGCAATTAGGCAAACCTACACTTTTCTTAACAGTATCTGCAGGTGAAAAGATTTGGCCAGAATTATTACAGTGTTTAAGTACATTAAATATGAACAAAACAATTTCGATTGAAGAGGCATTACATTTAGATGACGCAGAAAAATCAGAATTAGTTACGCGAGATCCAGTAACCTGTGCGCGGTACTCCGATTACAAAGAAAATAAATTACTATTACTTTTAAACAGGGATAACAGTGTTTTTGATGAATATTTAATTGAAGATAGTTATGAACGGGTAGAGTTTCAAGTACGTGGATCTCCGCATGAGCACATTTTTTTTTGGATTAAAGATGCGCCCATATATGATCCAACCAACTGCGAAAGCGTAAAAGAATGTATTCAATTTATAGATAGATTTATAGCTTGTAAATATGATAAAAATGATGTTTTTATGACAGTTCAACGTCATAGACATACTCATACATGTTACAAAGGTACAAAAAGTAAAATGAAATGTCGATTTAATTTTCCACAGCCTATTATGAATAGGACAATGATTTTGGATCCGTTAAATAATGATGATAAGAGTGATAAAATTGGAAAAACTTTGTCTGAAATTCGAAATTTAATGTTATATTTTTCAAAAAAACAAGAACTTGTTTCTTTTGAAGATATTTTAATAAAATTAAAAATAACAGAAGACCAGTATATTGTAGCTTTAAGAAGTTCATTAAAAAGACCACAAGTATTTTTAAAACGTAGTAGTTTAGAAGTAAATATTAATTGCTATAATAAAACCATATTACATTTATTTGAGGCTAACATAGACGTACAGTTCGTTTTAGAAGTATATGGAATAGCATCGTACATAATTAACTATGTTGGAAAAGTAGATGCTGGTCTGTCTAAACTTTTACGTGATGCCGAATCTGATGTTAACAGTGGTAATATCAATGTAAAAGAAAAATTTCGAAAAATAACTAACATATTTTTGAATAATAATTTAATGTGGGCACAAGAAGCGGCATATCACGTTTTATCGTTGCCATTGTCAAAAAGCAGTAGGCAAACAATTTATATTAACACAAGTCCAATAAATGAACGCGCCTTAATGTTAAAAAGTCCGACTGAATTACGAAAGTTGAATTCTGAATCGAATGAAATATTCATGGATAACGTCGTAACAAAATATGTCAATAGACCGCCAACACTAGAAAAAACATGTTTAGCAGATTTTGTTTCTAGTTATTCAAAACGAAAAATTCAAAGTAATGGCAATGATGATGAATTAATTGAATACCGACCAAAAGAAAAAGTTGCAATTATTAGATACAGACGGTATAAGTTAGATCAAGACTCGTTCAATTATTATCGCAAACAAATTCTGTTATTTTTAGCCTGGAGAAATGAAGCTTATGAAGTAGAAAATGTGGATACGGAAAACGTTTACCTTGATAATATAGAAATAATCGAACACAATCGACAAAAATATTCGATTATAGGAGATGATGTATTAGATAGAGCTTTAGAAAATGTTCAGAATGAAATTCAGCACGTACAAGATGAAGAAATTAATAGTTTCTTAGCTGAAGAATTACCTGGCCACCAGCAAATTGATATTTTACAACAAGATGGAAAAGAAATTTGTAAAGATAAATTTTACAATCGTTTTATATGCCCTAAACGAGTATCACCTAAAGAACTGTTAAATATAATGTCGAAGTTGAATAATTTGCAACGAGACTTTGTGATGCACGTGTTGAATAGTTTCAAAAGACACAAATTACCATTAAAAATATTTTTAAGCGGTTCGGCTGGAGTTGGGAAATCGACAATAATTAAATGCATTTACCAAATGATTACTAATTACCACGACAATTTACCTGGTTCTGAGAAAGATAAATTAGCTGTTTTATTATGTGCCCCTTCTGGTAAAGCTGCCTTTTTAATAAATGGAATAACATTACTCACTGCTTTTGCTCTACCCGTAGTACAGTTTGGTGGCCGAATGCCTGAACTATCTGCTGATTTAGCAAATAATATTAGAGAAAAATTGTTCCATTTAAAATTATTAATTATAGATGAGATTTCAATGGTAGGTAGTACACTTTTAAGTCGTGTAGATACCAGATTGCGACAAATACGAAGAATAAATAAGCCTTTTGGTGACTTATCAGTTATTGTAGTTGATGATTTGAATCAGTTACCACCTGTAATGGATTCACCTATTTATAAAATAGGTGAATCCATTACAGGTGAATGATAAAAATAATGAAAATAATGAAATGTTTAAAAAATAATGAAATGCTTTAGGCTTTTTAACATAAATCCTTTATGGGAAAATTTCGAATTTTTTGAACTGACGCAAATTATGAGACAAAAAGATGAAAAACTCTTTATTGACGCTTTAAATAATTTAGCTGTAGGACCCAAATGACTGCGAAGGATATAGAACTACTTAAATCAAGAGAGGTTCGAGAATCAGATGTTCCTGAAAGTGCAATGCGTTTGTTTGCGGAAAATGTTAACGTCGATATTTATAATCAGATGAAAATAGAAAAGCAAACAGGCACAGAATACATTTCTGAAGCAAAAGATACGATTTTAGGTAAATTATCGGATACAAGTAGAAATCGTATACTAGAATCATTAAAAACAAAAAGTATGAATGAGACAAATGGTTTACCCATTAGTGTAAGATTAAAATTATTTATTAAATATATGATAACTAGCAATATTGATATCGAAGACGGCCTTGTGAATGGAGCCTGTGGTTGCTTAAAGCACATAACATTTAATTCAAGTTCTACGGATCCGTGTATAATATGGATAAACTTTGCATCCAACGCTGTTGGTAAAAAAGCAAGGCTGCTGTACAAAGACTACATGAAATCCGAAAATATTGATACCAATCTACACCAGTTGGGAAAACCAGTATTTCTCTAAATATTTCGAATAAATTACAGTACCAAATATTAAGAAAATAATTTCCAGTAGTACCTTCGGAAACTTTGACAATACACAAAAGCCAAGGTTAGATTTACAAAGGAATATGCATAGATTTTAATAAATCAAACAGAATTTCACGGCCCATGTTATATGTGGAGCTAAGCAGAGTTACAAGATTATCTGTATTATATAATTTATATACATTTAAACCTCCAAAATTAATTAAATCAAATGATCCAGTTTTGTTAGAATTACATAGATTACGAACAGAAAAAACACTGAAATTATCATTTGATAATTTAAAAGTAGCTAATGGAATTACGGTCATGTATCAAAATATCAACTCCTTGTCGACCACATTTGAATTAATATTAAGCGATAAGTGGTATCGCAGATTTGATATTTTAATATTTGCGGAAACACTCTCAAAATCAACTGACAAATTTGAAATTCCTGATTTCGTTGAAATATTTTGATTCAACGTACATCGTTCGTCAAGAGGTGTTATTTGTTTTGCAAGAAAAGAAATTGATGTGTTATATCTGGATCATGTACTTGAAATACAGGAAAATCAAAATAAAGCTGAGTCTCATGTAGAATTATTCAGTGTTCAAATAGAAAATTATTTAATTATCAATGGTTATAAATCTCCTTCCTGTACAAAAGAACTTTTTGAGAAAATGTTTCAAAATATATATAAGAAAACATATGAAAATAAAAAAGAATTAATAGTTATTGGTGATTTCAACTTCGATATGAAATGTGAAAAAAAATTTGATATAATTAACATTTTTAACAATTATAACTTGACATCCTTATTGCCAACTGATGTACCTACTACAGATTTAAATACGCAACTAGATGTTATATTTTCTACAAGTGCCCTCTATGACAAAATCAGGTGTGTACGAAACATACTTTTCATACCAATAAGCCAATATTTGTAAAGTTTAATTTACAAAGCAATAATCCTTATGTGTGCACAAAATGAACAGGCACCATTAATAATACAAAATACAGTTTCTAATTGTAGTACTAATATTAGTAATCATAAAATTAGTACCTTAAAAGAAATTGCTGAACTAAATGCGGTTGGACTTATAAATTTAGACGAAACAATTTTACAAATTGCTGATAGAATGCTGTCGGAAATTCATAAAATAAATGTAACACTGTCCAAAAAGCATTATTCTAATCGTTTAGAAATGATATTTTTAGAATACGAATACTTCCTGGAAATGATAAAACGAAAGTGTTCTGACAGAAAATCACTTCAGAATTAAAAATCTCACCCTATTGAATTTCCAAGAAACAAAAAAATTTATGATGCTTTAACAGAAAATTTCTCAGTAGTGAAAACAGAAGGTGACGGATCATGTCTATTCCGTTCATTATCGTTATGCTTATTTGGGACACAGGAAATTACATAAATGCATTAGAATGTTATGCTGTTATATTTTTTTACAAAAACTGGTTATACTTTGAACACCCTGATAGAATGATTTTTTGTTCGAATATGGCAAGTGTAATAGAATTAATAAATAATACTGCCAGCATTAAATCGTGGGGAAATGAAGCACATATAAAAGCGATTGCGATTGCAGCTTCAAGAGATATTCATGTTTATGAAGAAATAGAAAGTGACGACATGAATAGGAGAATGACTTTAATGGAATTACAAGATAGATATGATTCAGGGCTACTGAATAAAATTCATTTCCTGTTAACAAAAAATACTTTCAACAATGACAAAGATTCTGTGTCTTTAAAGATTCTGTGTCTTAAAAAATCCCATATCTATATTATATACTGATGGAGGAACAAACATTGCACATTATTCGGGAATTTTACGTAAAAGTTTGAATGCCATTCTTTTGAAACCAAAATATAGACGAGACGTGAGACCTACTGAAAATTTACAAACTGTAGTAGCAAGTGTTACAAACGTAGAATAAATATACAGAGATAAAAATACCACCACATCGTACTCATTTTAAACTTAGTAAAAACATGTTACAAATCAAAATTGAAAATTTAATAAGTTTCTTCTAAGTTTTTTCTTTAGCTTTTCATTTGTTTATGGTTACATCATAATAATTTTAAAACATAGATAAAAATAGATAAAGCACTTTAGATGTATAAAAGGCCTTCGATTTATTTAATAAGTAATAAAGGAACTGTTATTCTATTCTAATCTTTGAGGTTGGAATCATAATTGTAAAAATAGTTGATGTTAATAAAAACGAATATTTTCAGCAACTGTGTAACTGTCCTACTTTAGTAAAGAACTGGAGGATCATATCTCACTTTCAAATGAAATAAGTTTAAATGAAATATAGCAAAAAATGTGTAGAATTTAATAGGCCATACAAGGAAGTCATGTGGTATCCATATCAGATTTTTTATTCTTATATGTTCATTAGAGATATATTTCTAATTTAATTAATTCAGTTCTCACCTAGCGGCAAAACAAAAATACATAAAAACTCAAAACATCTGCATTAAAAATTGTAAAATACAGAAAATCATAAAACACCAAACACAGTTAAAACAGTTAAAAGAACAATTTAAAATTAGAATTTCTAAGCAAAAATATGCAATTGGGACAGCGGGCACGAAAGCAGATTTTCCAATGTACAAAACTGAAAGTTTAATTCTGGTTCCGCTCGGCAAAAAGACATCGAAAGTGCAAAAACTGAATTCACTATCCTACTGAGTTTCAAATGTAAACAAATAGCGGTTCATTAGGCTTAACTCGCCACTTAAATTTTTAGATTGTTGATATTTCAACAACTATAGCATGCACATTAACTAAAAGTATAAAAACCTTAACCGGAATACAAAAACTGCATAATTCAATCACTTTTAAAGAAGAAATTGCACACTTTATCAAAATATAAGAATGAATAGCTCATCTTACCGAGCCAGGTTACAGAGTGAACAGCTTCAGTATAGTCCACCTTTAAAGTTTGGCGAATTTGTTTTGGCGCCAAATCCCATGAAAGACGTTGTTTTGAAAAATGGCCTCCATCTTGATTTCACCAGAAATCGTGAATAAGAGAAATAAATTTACGACTATTATACACGATTTTAAAAGAAAAAAAAAAATGTTAAGGAATGATTAATGAAAATGATTAAGGCTAAAAGGATGTAATTTTAAAAACAATGCCGGAAAAACTTACCTTTGCTTGGCTTTTCCAAATGTTCTTTGCATCCAATCTTACCTTTGCATGGTATCTTACATTTTTCACAAGTTTTATCCTTCAATAATCCACAATCCATCAAAAATCCTCTAAAAAGTTCATACTCTCTTGTTAATTCATACATAAAATATCTGTTTGGAATGCCTGGCTTTTCCAAACTTTTACGCTTGTTTGAAAACGCCTACCTTAAATTTTCTTTTAAAATCTCTCGATACTTAATTACAACATCACTAACAGCAGGTTTAGAGCAATCCATAACTAAATGTAAAAATCTGATCTCCAAAACAGTTATTCTCCACAATATCTGAGCGTTAAACAATCGCCGAAAATAGTGTTACGAATTTTGTGTAAATAGTTAATTTTAGTACAATTCTAATTAAAAAATGTTGTATTTCCGCGTGCAATGCAGCCCGAGATAAATTTTAAGAGAAGCTATGCCGGAAAAGTAAGAATATATTGGCACGTGCATTTAACTATGAGTAAATGGATATCTCGGTAATTTGTATTGAAAATTGAATAAATGTAACTAACTACTATATTAGTTGTAACCGTAATTCCATCGTCTTTGTTTACATTCCGTTTGGCGAATAGTATGGGTTACCATATCATATCATTTATCGCCGCTCTTGGCGATATTTTTTGGTTAAAATTCTGGGTGGGCTATACTGAAGCTGTGCTCAGAGTGGGAATATATATATATATATATTTATGTAAGATAAAAAATATATAAATCAAAATTATAATTTAAACTAACGGATAAAACATTAATTCTCCCTCTCTGTTTTAAAAATCGTAATAACTTCTCTGAATTGCGTCATTTCTGGAACATTCTATGGCCTGCACAACGCACGCTGATGACGTAATAATTGTAAACTGAAACTTTTTAACTCAAACCAAAATCTTTCTATTCGTGTGCTTCTATCTTGCATAACTATGCACTTCAGCTGCACTCTCTGCCCTGCTTGGACGTAATTTTGCCATGCTGCTTCCTATTGCAATAATATCAAAAATGAAAATGTTTTTGAATAGTGCCAAGTGACTGTGGCCACAAACGTCAACTGGAAAATAAAAATGGAATTAAAACTTCCTCGACTGCCGATTTTTTTTAATA